GTTTCCTGTTTGTCTGGAGCGCCTGTACGTAAAGTGGGTATTTCTGGTGGAACCACTTCGGAAATACGAACATGATGAAGGGCGCCCTTTCCTCGACCATCCCATTGAAGGTTGTTCTGAAATGTAGAAAAAAGAAAAGCTATCAATATTTGCCACACAAGAATTGGTTGCTTGTTCTTCGCTTTTGAGAAACCCAGCAGTAATTCAATAACGAAATCTTATTTTTAAAAACCGTTCTAGCATCACATACTGGAAATTGAAGGGAAAAAAAGAGTACAATGCCGGCCATGTCATTCTGAACTTGTGTGATCGTCATTTGAACATGATGCGGACAACTACGGGCCCTGTGGGGAAACTAATTCTCACGACATTTCCCACATGCATACCTGTGAAACGACAATTAATCATTTTAAAAAGCTGCAACAGCATCGACATCAGCTACTACTACAACCACAATATAACAATAATTTCAAAAACAACAAGAGCAATAAAACAACAACAAAAGCAACAACAATAACATCATCATCAACAACAACAACAACAACAACAACAACAAACCCAATCACACCTCTACTAACACCAAAAACATTGACAACAACAGCAACACCACTAAACTTATTTCCATAAGGTAGTTGACACATAAGTACTTTTAAATCTAAGTGATGGTTTCTTTCTTCTCGTATTTCTTATAATCATCGTTCTCGTCCTTTGAACATGATGCGGACAACTACGGGCCTATAGAGAGTAGAGCAATTATTCATGTCACGTATTTGCCTGATTCTCCAACCGGGCCACATGGAAGCCTGATGTCTGGAATACCCAACTGAACCCATTAAAAACAAAAAGGGCATCGAAATCTATGGGTCTCAAAATGTACGGCCAGGTATGCTAGTTATGATTACGATTTTGGCGTGCGTTTCAAGAAATCGATCTAAAACTAAAATGGAGGCTACTTTTGGCCAACTTGAACAGCTGCGCATGTTTACATAATTTGTTGAATTAGTTTAACCCTCTGGGATCCTCGAGACCCCCGAAGAATAAAATTATAGTGGTCATTTCCTTGGAAATGTTTTTCAGTTTGTAAAGCATAATAAACTCACTTAAATAAATAACTTAGCATAGTATAATAAAAATAAAGAAAAACCCATTCGTTTCATAGAGCAACACAAACATGCACTTTATACAAATGATTAAAGTCTGAGATCCCCTTTGAGACCAAAGCAAAGCTCATTAACTCTATCTTCATCCCCACTTTGACCTACCAGTGCCAGACATGGACCCTGACCAAAAGTCTTGAACGTAAGATAACGAACTGTGAGATGAGATGTCTGAGGAGAACCGTCAACAAAACCAGACGGGACATGGTCAGAAACAACAAGATCAGAGAAATGAGGGGAACACCACCTGTTCTCCACTACATTCGACGGCAAACAATCAGGCAGTTTGAACATCTCACGCGTATGGCACCTCACCAGCTCGCCAGTAAAGGCCACTACAGAAAAGTATAAGGGTACACGGCAAGAGGAAGACCAATAAAGACCTGGATCCAGGGTGTGAAGGATACCCTGAGAACAGATAATATCCCACCCGGCCAGGCCTTCAAACTTGCTAGAGACTGGAAGCTCTTTCTCCCTTCGACGCCCTAGACGTACAAGAGGATGGATAAAGTATGTAGAGTAAGTAGATTAAAGTCTGAAGGGAAAGTTTCAAGTGAGTGTAATCACAACATTCGACCTGCATTTGACGCGAATCCTTTGCAATCTCAACGGAGACGAGGCTTCTGGTTATTCGGAAACGCTTGGTGACTTCGCGCTGTTTGGGGCATATTTTCATTATTCAAACGTATCTTTTCCATTCTGTTTCCTTTACCTCCTGAAACTTAACTTTCCGGAGTGCTACACATGCCCATATGTCGCGGTCGAAATTAACGTTTGCCATGCTCCGCATACATACAGACTTCAACATAAGTTAAGGACCACCTCGATAGATAGCCCTGATTTTTTTTTTATCCGAAAAAAGACAACAAGGAATGTTTCAAAATTATTTGCTCTGAAAGTGTCAATGGGTTACCAATGCGTATTGCAAAGCTTCCTAAAGGGGAAAAACCACCCCGTGCAGCACGGAAATCCTTGGGGAATTCTAGCCTAATTCGCTGGGGGAGGGGGTTATCGACTTGTGTACGACACCACGGACATTCATCAGTTAAAATTTCTGGTGCACGTGATAAACGGATGTACGGTCTCCAACTGTGCTCACTTTGGTGGCAATATAAGTCGTCGAGAGAGGACCGATATGTCCGCATGCAGGCCCTGCGACAGAGGACACCGACAGCCAACAGCATCAGGCATCGTCTGCGTGCTGCTACCAAAGAGGCGGTGAGCTCCGAGATCATTCGGCCTCGTCTGCAGGTTGCCAACATCGTGCCAGGCGTCCAATCAAGAAACCAAGGCTAACCGCAGGTCGCCAGGCAAGTCGTCCATGGGGGCCATGTGTTGTTCACAGATGAGTCACGATTCATGTTCAACCCAACAGATGGACGTTTGCGTGTGTGGCGGCGTCCACGAGAACAGTTAACAGACATTAATGAGCAGGAGGTGACTCCTTTCGGTGGTGGCTCCATAATGGTATGGGGTGGAATTGGGACACACCATAGAACCCCCATTTACCATGTTGATGGTATTTTGAATGGCTCACGGTACCTGCAAGAGATACTGCAGCGACTAGTCACGGCGGGTCTCCAACACGCTGACCAACATGCAATACTCCAGGACAACAACGCCACCCCACATCGTTTCAGAGCAGTAAACGCGTTCATCGGGCAAGCAGGGATCACAAGAATGCCATGGCCAGCCAACAGTCCGACTTCAACCATTGAGAATGTGTGGGGGTGAACTTGGCCGGTGAGTCCAGCAGCCCTAGCCACCACCAGCTTACTGACATGAGCTGCTACAGATCATGTAGCAAGATTGAGCAAACATTCCTTAAGCCTTCATCCCAACCACTATCAACACTATGAGGCGGCGCTGCCTCGGTGTGGTGGTCACACCTGTATTTAAACGGACATTCATGGACACTAATTCCTACATTTTTCTTTTAAGGGGTACTGTTTGCAAGCCGCAAACCAAAGGCCAGAAATCCTAAATTAATTTCTGTTCGAGGACGACCAATGTCTTATTCATCATGACCAACAAAGTCTCCAAAATCACACTACCGAAGTCAACAACAGCTGTGAGAAATTCAACTTGAAAATAAGCACATCAAAAACAGAAGTTATGAAAGTGAGCCGAAACCATAGTCTCCTGAACATCAACGTCAATAGTAAACAGCTGAAACAGGAGAAGGAGTTTAAATATCTTCGCAGCGCTTTTTCTGAAAACGGGTCCATATACAGAGAGCTTATCACCTCAAAATTCATACCAACGTTAAGTTATCAGTGCCAGACCTGGACTTTAAGCAAAACCCATAAAAACAAAATTACCGTATGCGAAATGAAATGTCTCCGCAAAACCCTTCACATCACAAGACGAGACAGGCAGAGAAATGAAGAAGTAAGAGCAGCTATCGGCACGGAGTTCTGCCTTCGTTACATAGATAGAAAGTCAGAGGATAAAAAGGTTTGGCCACCTGTTACGCATGTATCGTCGGTGGCCTAGTGGTTAGGCTCTCGGACTCGCAACCGTAAGGTCGTGTGTTCAAATCCCGTCAGGGGCTCGACATTATGTCCTTGGGAAAGGCACTTTGCACAACACCAAGCACTCAGACTATAAAGGAAAAGGAAGGCCACGCAAACAGGTGGATCGAGTGCGTCAAGGAAACACTAAGAAAACATAACATTATAACTGAAAGAGCTGCAGAGCTGGCCTACCATAGAAAACTGCCTCTCCCCTCGACGCTTAACGGCAACAGAGGATGAAAAAGTGAAAAGTAAAATAAGTTGTTCCAAGCGACATATTGTCTAAGTTCATGACGTCATCATTCTGAAATTGAATTGATTTTTTTGGAGAAATGATTCTATTACCTATCTTTGGAATTTCAAATGTTTTGCTTTTCACCTGTTTGTGCTGCGAAATTGTTTGCAAGTGGTCCTTAACTATGTTGAAGTCTGTTCAAAAAGAACTCGCTGTAAACAGCACAGCTCGATTGCTTTTTAAAAAGCAATAGACTTAAGAAGTCAATTGTATTTGTTTAATATAACTATAACTGTGGCTTTTGCTCTTTCGTCTGTCCTCGGTTACAGCAAGCGAAAACCAAATAGCTCGGTTTAATCTTCTCGGGTCTTTGCATATGGGTCTAAAAGCTGGATGGCAAACAGAATCTAAAAGGCCAATAATGACGGCCAAAAGCATCAAAACCTATTCTCATCAACATCACACTTTAACTACCTTAATACTTGTTGGGTATCTGGCTTGTAGGAGTGTCATGTGTCATGCAAAGTTACTTGCGTAATGACAACTTAATAAATAAACGAGATTTTTCAAATCAGGAACAACAGAAAGTGAACAAGATGATAATTACAGTACAACTCTATGGGTTTGGGGGGGGGGGGGGTTCAAGTTAATGTTCACCCTAACGTACCTGAACCTGCCGTATCTGGCCCCGTGGTCGCTGAAGTAAATGAGAAGTGTGTTGTTAAGGAGAGACTCGGACACGAGATCCCGCAGGAACTGTGCGTGTTGTTCGTCCGCCGCACGTGCAAGGCCAAGGTCATCGTGAGTAGGCCGGTTCAGGAACACGAACCCAAAGTGTGGCTGGCAACAGAAATTATACGTTGCTTGATTGAGAGAGATATATATATATATATATATATATATATATATATATATATATATATATATATATATATATATATATATATATATATATATACAGAGAGAGAGAGAGAGAGAGGGGGGGAGGGAGGGAGAGAGAGAATAAATGTGTGCATACCTGCTGTTTTTCTTTTAAATATATATGCTACATTTTTTTAAAATTCAATAAGACAGAGATAGAGAGTGTTAGGTAGATAAATAAAAGGTACAAAGAGGGAGGGAAAGAGAGAGAGAGAGAGAGAGAGAGAGAGAGAGAGAGAGAGAGAGAGAGAGAGAGAGAGAAGGAGAGAGAGAGATAGAGGGAGAGAGTGAGAGGGGTGGGGGGAGAGAGATGGGGGAGTCGACAGAGAGTGAGCGGAATAAATTAATTAGTCAGGCTTTAAGAAGCCATTTAAGAAGCATACATTTTTTTAAATCCTAGGCATACAAAAGAATCAAGTAAAAGTTGCGTAAATTCAAGCAATGACTCCTGAGAAAAATTATGGCTGAGAAAGCTTGCCTCGGACATATCAGTTGTTTGGTAAAAGTAATACGGCGCTTGCAACTGCATACAGTCATATAAGCGAGCCAACAGGACAAGAACAAAATGAACTTAAACGGACAGTAATTCAATAACAATCTGCGGACTCACCTCATGTTTAAACGACCGCACAAACTGTTTTGGATAATTCAGAATGAACTCCACAGCCGTCGTGTCGCCCAGACAGTTGTGGCTGTTTCGCCATATTTTTTCGTTGGCTTCCATGGCAACCGCCAGAGGGCGTGCGTAGTAGTGGGTCGGCGGGGCGTAGAAGCCTTGCTTGAGGTAGTTGAAAGTCGCGATGTTGGGGAAGTCTTCAGCGTACAGGGTTCGGTAGCCTGGTGGGAGAAAAGAGTAGATCGATGCAGTCAAATCTATTCTGACGGCCACGTCCTGTATACGCCAATCACCTGCTCAAACATCAACTTCCTATGGCCTCCCGTGTGTATTTTTTTTTTACATTATAATGTCACTCTTTAAGATGGTCATCTGCCTAAGAAGGCCATTTTTGTCTTCGACAATTGGTGGTCTAATAAAAGAGTTTCGGTTGTATTTTGTTTTACTTGTTGGCTTTTTTTTCGTGCCGTCGCTAGTCTAAAAACACACTCATAATCTTGAGACTGTCAGTTTTGGGCTTCGAGGCTTAGCTCAGTCCGACGTTGTATCCTTGCAAATGGCATTTACCCGAATTATCACATTTATTCGGTTCATTGCTATCGAAGAAAAACCTTAAATTCGTAGGTCCTATCTTTGAAATAGCCTTACACGTTACAGTGTTGCAAAATGCTTTAAACTTATAAAATTGCGCACTTTTTTACTAGCTGGTGCATCAAAAAACCCGTATGCTTAAATTAACCACTTCACTCAATATAATACCAACCCATATATAATGAAAGACATAATATTATTTTACTTTAAGCAAAGGTAACCATCAGATATCAGAAAAGATCCCCGAAAACTGACAATGATCGAGAATTAAGATACCAGAAAATATTCCAGCACATCACAACCTTCCTTGTCCCACTCCCAGTAGGTGCAAGGGTATATGTTGGTGAAAATCATTTCATAGGACTTTGTACCATCATTATGTGCCAGATCTGTGACAGACGTCGGCAATAATAGTTCTCCAGTCTTTCCTTCAATCGGATGCTCTTTCTCCGTCACCCATCTAACTATCTGTTTAGGCTCTCCAATATGTTGCGCTGGGACTGCCCCAGCCTCGTTTTCTTTCAGTTTTGTCAGTGATAGCGTAATGTGCCTGGCCCTTATATCTATACAAGTGTCCCAGAAACTGCATTTTTTCGTACTGCTATTTTTTATCATCGGGCAGCTCTAGTTCGCTTCAATAAGTACTACCTCTTTCAATTGTCTCCTTTTAAAAAAGTAATACATAAAAGCAAAAAGGGTACCTCCTCCCCTCTTCCAACAAATAAGTATAAAAAAGAAAGAAAAAAAGGAATAGTATACAGAACGGTTGTATCTCCCGGAAAGAGAATTTTATTTTCTTATGTTATTATTTCATGTACGTTTTGATTATAATATGACTCACCAGCGTCTGAATACTTCTTCCATATAAAAGGCCACTCGTCCAGGTACTGGGATGAGTCCCAGTACTTTAAGTGCTCTGTGATATAACTTCCTGTCAGGAGAGGGGTCAAGTTGGGGAAGGTGTTGTCACCCACTTTGTTGTAGCGTTCCAGTTCGATTCCTCCCAGGCCCAGCAGTAAATTCCGTGTTTGTGGCATTGACCTGGTGAAAGTTTTTGAACGCAGAAAGATTGTTGGGTTTTTATTTTCATTTGGAAGGCGTATGTGTGTTGTATGTGTGTGTGTGTGTGTGTGTGTGTTTGTGTATGTGTATGTGTGCGTGCGTGTGTGTGTATGTTTGTGTATGTGTGTTTGTATGTGTGTGTGTGTGTGTGTGTGTGTGTGTGTGTGTGTGTGTATGTGTGTGTGTGTGTGTGTGTGCACGTATACCCTACCCGTGTCTGTGGCACAAAAGTTCGGCCCTCCTGCATGGCATGCAGAAGATATGTATTTGATTCTTGTGTGATGAAGTCTGTTTCATATAATATCTCTGTATGTCAGCTTGTGATCCTCTGTCCCACTGAGTTGTTTGGTTTTTATTTTTTAAAATTTTTTGTTGTTGTTGTTGTTTTTGTTTTTTTGTGTTGTTTTGCTTTTTGTTTGTTTGTTTTTTGTTGGGTTTTTTTTGGGGGGGTGGGTTGGGGGGGTCACCCTTCCCTTTCAGTGTCTTGATTTTCCTTTTAAAGAGATGTGTAATTTAGCCCCGTCGATACAATTTATATAAACTAGGAGGCGTGCTTCGACAGCGCCAGTCAGAGCCAACCTGGGCTGAGAGGGACGCAACAACTCAGCAGAAAGACAAAGATGCAGGATGAAAATTATTCGAATTCGGGAATCAAACTTCTTTCCTCCTGTCTGCGACGGCGAACTGCCATTCAAGTAAACCGTAGACGACGTTTGTGTCTTGTTTTTGCCTTCTGATATTTAAAATCCGATCAGCTGAGTGTGAGCCAATAAAATTAAATATTCTTTTTCCACTCAAATGCAAGAATTGTTGTTTAGTAAAGCTAAGGTATTATTGGGTTTTTCAGTTTTTACCCTGCACAAGAGGTTTGTGTTTGTTTGTTTTTTGGGGGTTTTTTGGTTGTTTTTTTTGGTTGTTTTTTTTTTTTTGGGGGGGTTAGTTGAGAGACGCGCACAAGTGAAAGAGAGCAACACCATTTATAGACAAAGTGGCTTAGCATGACAAATAGAAAAACAAACAGAGAAACATATTACCAACAACAAAAAAAGACGTGATTATTTGTATGTTACCTGATGAAGTTCATCCTGGAGGTCCCGTCGACCCCCACCATGAGGACATTGAGGACTTCTGCTGGGGCTGCCGTGGACAGGTGGCGCTCTAGGAGGACACGGGAACCCTGCTCTATGGCAGGCTGGGGCTGGGTAAAAAGAGAGAGAGAGAAAGAGAAGTTATGCGTTTGTGGTTACGTGCGTGTATGTGTGTATAAGTATGAATGTGTGTGTGAGTGTATGTGTGTGTGTGTGTAGGTGTGTATAAGTATGAATGTGTGTGTATGTGTGTGTGTGTGTGTGTGTGTGTGTGTGTGTGTGTGTGTGTGTGTGTGTACGACAGGTGTATGTATGTCGAAGTGTACGGTATAATTGTGTATCTGTGTACATTTGTATTGTGATGCCTGTCTGTTTGTAGGTGTACGTGTGTGCATACAAAGGAAAAGCAGCCAGATGCCTACCTGCACTACAGTATGATACGTCTCGGCGACCTTGTTTTTTAGATGATCTTCACACTCCACATGGAGAAACTCATCCTGTAGTGGAAGGTGTAGGTCGTGAGAGAACGGCCCTTTCCAACCAGATGTCTGGAACTTGTTCTCATCGGTGGAGTGCCGGAACAAGGGCCGATACCGACAATGGGAAAAGTTCTCTCTCTTGAGAACTTTGTGAATCTTGGTCCAGTTGAGCCTGAGGACTCCTCCATCTATGTAGGTCACAGAGGGCCGGCCAGAACACGTTGTGGTGTTATACAGCGTGATCAAGCCGATTACGGACGGTTCAAACGGGTCCAACTCGGGAAAGGAGCATACTGTCTCGTTGTCGTCATGTCCGGCAGTTTGTCTCATTGGTGGTAAGGTTTGGCTCTCAGCTCTCACAGTCTGGCTCTGGGAAACAACAGAAAAGACTAATTTGCTACCATATTTCCAAGAGTTTGTCATGTTCATAACAAAATTTGACGTGGCAGAAGCCCTCCAATGTAGCACAAGCAACAACAAACAACAACAACAACAACAACAACAACAACAACAACAACAGGAGCAGCAGCAGCAGCAGCAGCAACAATAACAACAAAACAATAATGGTAAGAACAACAATAAGGACAACATCCTTGAAAACATACTTCCAAAGTATCTGAACCATCGAGGTCCGAAAGCCCTACAAAAGCCTCTTCTCATCTTCGACATAATTTGTCCATTAAGCAGACAGCAGTATTCCAGGAGTACAAGAAGATTGTCCTTGAGGAAGGTTGACATCCGGGCGAGTACACTCTTCTATGGGGTCACGGATAGGCGCAACAGACTAACTGCTATTAACTTCCGTTTCAACCTAAACCAGTTAGCCACACACACACGTTCACATATACATATATACACAAATGCATGCATTCACACTTACATACGTACACACACGCACACATACACGTACTCAGATACACACACTTACACATACACATTTGCACACATACGCACATATACATACATACGCACATTTACACATACACACGTACACACACACGCACATATACATACTCACATACTAACATACACATATTCAGACATACACACGTACACATACACACATAGGCACATATACATACTCACATACTCATATACAGACATTCACACATACACACGAACACACGTACACACATACGCACATAATATACATATTTACGTACACATACTCACACATACAGATGTACACACATACGCACATATACATACTCACATACACACATTCACACATTCACATATGCACACATATACACATAATTATATACACACATGTACACATACATACATACACATTTACACACATACGCACATATACATACTCACATACTCACATACACACATTCACATTAGCATATGTATACACATACGCACATTTACATATTTACATACACACATTCACACATTCAGACATATACACATATACATTATACGCACGTATACACATACATGCATACACATTTACACATATACACACAACAGCAAAATCATCCACTTCAGAGTCTACAAGACTCCCTAAACGCTTACTAAACGTTTGGAATCCGTAAAGCAAGAACAACCTGCTACCCTGCAATTACAACGTTCTATCTGCTCAGTGCCTAGTTTGAAGAAATCTGACTTTAAAAATGTTTTGTTTCACAACATGTCAAGCTTTTTCGAATGCAGTTTTTTAAATATATATCTTGATAACGACTCCGAATAATCTTAAGTTTTTGATAGAGCAGATAGAATAGTTGGTTTCTGACCTCATGGTCTTAGTAACTCAAAACGGCCAAAAATGTCTTCTAGAACTGTGTAATTCTGAGGTAGCGAACAATCAGTGACAGACATGTTTGTCGTCTCCTTTGCACAAGTAGGGCTGCTTTATTTTGGCTAATATTATTTAAGTACCAACCCAGCCTGAATGGACCACAGTGTCCCACCCAAAACCCATCAGATACTCGTTTGAAACTAAACACATTTTTTGCGTGAACTGTCGAAGAGGCTAATCATCACACCACAGATAATAATAATAATAATAATAATAATAATAATAATAATAATAATAATAATAATAATAATAATAATAATAATAATAATCGCATTAATATAGCGCTTTACAACTATTAATTACAGATGCCAATACCATTATCTGCTAGACTTCGATAACAGCAGTGGACTTTTAAAGGGGTCGTCATCATAAAAGGAGCATTAACTAGATCTAATTCCGTCCATTCGACCGCTAACAGCGGCTCTAGTTTCTCCGCTGCTTTCATTCAACCGCTGTGAGCGGCTCAACGAAATCCGAAGCAAAGGTGCACTTTTTAACATAGTTTCAACTTTTTAAATTGTCGAAAGGAAGTAGAGCTTGGAAACAGACCTGATCTCAATCAAAGATAGTAAATAACAAGATGGGCCACTCAGCCAAAAAAGTGTCCGCAGGAAGTATGCTCTTTGCTTCAGATGGCGCTGCAGTCTGTTTTGAAGCTCTCTTTCGTTTTTCCAGAAGAAGAATAGGAATAGCACCTCCTTGCGTGCGCAGATCGACTGCTGTTCATCAGCAGTTCGGGTACGTTCAGTGCGGAGTTTTAGGGTTTTTTAAATTTTAATGACCTCTCGCCTTTCACTCTAAAGTCAAATTAAACGAAGAAAACCATCACCCTTTCCTCCGGAAGAGGTTTTTTTGTCAGCGTAACCATTTAAAAAAAGCGTTCTTCCGAAATTTATCCCAAAACTTGCTAGTTTCACTTTGATTTTTTTAAACTCAAGTAGGGTAATTCTGTTCGCAAAGAGTGCGCTTTTGTGAAGAGGGCGCCACCAAATTTTGAGGACACTTTTTTAATTGGCTCAAAGAGAGAAGTGGCCCATCTTGTTATGTACTATCATTGCCTCAATCTCTGAGCGCCAATATCGATTCTTGCAAAAATCGTTGTTTTGTTGTTGCGATGTAGGCTAGATCTAAGGGTAAACAACACGGAACCTGGTATAATAAAAAAAAAATTTTAAAAGGCCCTTCAAAGAAAGATATTCAACTAAATTTGTGAAATTCTTGCATAAATGTGTGCTAGGGTGATATCGCTACAATGTTGTGTTGACTCCTATGGATTATAAGGACTTGTAGAGCTGAGAAAATGCGGTAAGTCGAAATTTTCGAAGAGCTGTTGCGCAATTTTTTTTTCTCATTCGTTTTTGTCTGAAGGAAAATGCAACACAAACATATTATAGGTCATTGTTATTGATATTAACAGATTCTTCTATTTATTCCCATCAGTTTGGTATATGACATTACCTATTAGAGTAACTTAGAGCTTCACAGTAATGCATTAAATAGATGCACCCCATGTCTAAAACTGAACAGGGAAAAATAATTCTGTCCAGAGCCTGAAAAAATCATGGACGGAATCATTTCTAATTTTTTTAAAAATTATTTGGTGTGTTGGGGGGGGGGGGGGGGGGGGGGTTGTCAGGTGTAAAACATGTCATTCATGATATAGTATGTTTATGGTATCTTTCACATCGACTGGCGCAATTAAATGTTTCAAGGTGAGAACATCAGCTGTGGTGTAATGGCTAGGGACTTTTATACTACATGCTGAAGTCACGAGCTCGATTCTAGATATAATATATTGGGCGGGGAAGTTATTTCATTATGTACAGTCGAGCTTATTCTAACCGCATCTTTATAATACAATCACCTGTACCAACGGCTACTTCCCATTTTCCCCTTGTGCTCTTTTAACATCAAAATGACATTGCAAAACGGCAACTTTTTCTCCTCGACAATGCCTGGCCGTCTTAGACAAGCTCGACTGTATACTACTACTTGATCATATATCCTTCTGAGATGCCGTGTTACCCTCAGACTGGGCTGGTCTATTGTATCAGTGAGAGCGTCAAACAGGAACATTTATTTAAAATAAAACCCTCAATAACCATTCACAGCTCACCATTGATCGACAAAAGGACTGTGAATTGATTATCACTAAGTGCTTGGATAAGAATGATCGTTTGAGACTCTAGATTGTATTGTCTCTGAGCCAGGCATATGAATAACCTTTTGTATATCGATCGGAAATTATGTTTGTAGTGAATGTATTTCATGAAATTAACGGGAATTCAATGTTTCAGCGAGTTTTTAAAGTGCCAGAGTGCGCCTAACGCCAAAGTCGGGATTACAGCTCATATTGTTGGCATGATTATGATAGACAGATAGCTAGATAGATAGCTAGCTAGCTAGATAGATAGCTAGCTAGATAGATAGATAGATAGATAGATAGATAGATAGATAGATAGATAGATAGATAG